AGCTTACTGCACGTAAAATACGTATGAAATTTCCAAATACACAAGTGATTAAAATATTCACATTCATCAAAAAGCAAGATACATATACATATAAACATATTATTATTATTATTAGTCCCTTGGGTTCTTAATGGAACATAGGGCTTCAGTAGCACGCCTCCAGTGACCTCTGTTCTCTGAGATCTTTTCAACCTGGTTCCATGACAGCCCAGAAGCTCTCATTTCCTCCTCGCACGATCTCCTCCATGTCACCCTCGGACGTCCAACTCGTCGCTTCCCATGGGGATTCCACTCGACGGCCTGGCCTGACGCGTGATGTCCCCAGCCGGCAATCTCAGTGCATGCCCAATCCATCCATATATTCAACGTTAATAGGATTTTCCGAATTCCTCAACCAAAAATAAATATGCTATTTTAGAAGGAACGCGCGAAAGTGAATGAACTGCCATCTATACAAACACATGAGAAAATACACACACATACACAAATACGCCTAGTAAACATTCACAACATTATCATTTGACCATTTGAGAAAGTCGTAGTTTGGCAGATCAGTATTTATTGCGGGTGATGGCTGGAGGTGAGATGAGAATCCAAACTACTGCCGGATTCGAACCAGTGACCACCGGGTTGCCGGCTCGGTGCTCTACCAACTGACCTACTAGGTCTAACTGCTGGCCAGAATTTTATTTCGCTTTAATGATTTCATTCACAGCATTGATTTAGCTTCAACTTTTTCTACGTTAAAATTGGTTTAGTATAGAAAACGCATTTTTATTTGGGTTATTCTCTACTAACTTTCGTTGCTGTCATCGCTTTTTTCATTAAGCTGTCTTTAAATTCAGATATTGATGGTGTATATTATCCGGGACACGAATTTCGTCCTGTTCAGGACTGGTTAGCTGAATGTATCTACATCTCAGTGAGCAGTGTTGTTCCCACTCAGACTCGAACCCGGCACCGATCGTCCCAAACCTCGGAGCGTTATCCACCAGGCCACCAAGACACGACAGCCACCTTTTGTGCAACGAGTAAAGTTTATACGGCGTTGTTTGTATTTCCTCTTTGTTATCTGTATCGAATTGGTCGGTCTCTATTAGCATATAGCCTGCTCCTGCGAGGAAAGTTCATCCTAGTTACAGGTCCTAGATGGGAAGAGAAATGTATCGTGGGTTACACTGCTAGCCACTATCCAACATTATTACAGATTTCAAAATGCAGGCAATATTTAGTTATCCGCTCAAGAGCTCACACAGCAAAAGATACACATCAATTTCGTCCAATCAGCGACGGGATAATGCAAGAATTTCTTCAAATTCACTTTACTTCTAAAGTGAATCATGTTCTATCCTATCGAAAACACGAGTATGGCTAATGCATAACACTGTTCTTAACAAATCAAACAGTAAGTTTTAAAATCAAATAGAAAGTGAAGTTTGCCAATTAAGGATTGTATGTAATTTTTAATAATTCATAGTCGTTCTTTATAAGCTAATGGATGTTTAAGTGATTCCTCTGCTTTTTCCCTTCCGTTAATGACAATAACTTCACGTTTTTTATTTTTTCGTTCTGAAACTGTTTAGCTTAGTTGGTTTTATCATTCTTACCGTTGCTGCTATTATTACTTACAATAAATATCTGGTTTTCTTATGATGCTTAGCCCTATACTGTTATCAAACGTATTAAATGACTGTTAAAGATTCTGTTCACAGTGACGTTATCTGTTCTCACCCCAATCAATTGTTACTTTAATTCTAACATCATTATTATCATTGTTCCTATTCTTATTACTTCTCACTCAAAATTCACATTACCCTGAAGCCTTGGATCATTATCCAATCTTTGGTTTCGTCATTAGCTGTCCCATTCAGTTTGAATATCTACTTCAATCGTTTGTACTACTTGCTGACATGTTAAAAATGTTCATCAACTTGTTGCTACGTATCAGCTGATACCTCAGTTTCTTTATTAATATAAAAGCTTTATTCTGTATCGCATCATAATAGATATGATCGGGTGCGTGGAGTATCTAGGTGACTAGTTATAATGAGATTCATGAATTAACTGAACCCTGATTTTACTACATTCACTGAACCTTTATTGTATCTGGACATATTGTTTTAGCCATTTTGAATAAAAATCTTCACCTGATGTATCTGTGAAAGTGCACTAAAGATAACTCCTTGACTAATTTAGGCAAATACATTTGGTGGTAGAGAAAATAAGAGACAATTCATCGGAAAACATTTTTTTCCCTACGATGTCATTTACTGCAGCTGCACAACTGTATACACAAGTACTGGAAACAGAAAATTATCTGTATGAAATCAACAAGATGGTGTCATATCAATATTATAGTATTCAAGAATCGAAAAAAAAAGTTGTTTCCAAAAGCAGAAAGGAATTGCGGAAGAACCGATAATGTAAGAAAAGTATTCAAAAATGTAAGGAACTTGAAGCTGTGAGGTGTAAAGTGAACTGGTTAAATGTTCACTGAATGGGTGAAGACAAGGTGAATAAACGTAGTAGGGTCCTATTGAAGGTGTCACTTATGAAAGAATTACCACTAGTGGTATGACTAAAGCAGTAATGAAAGGCAGGAGTGAACTCGTCTATGCTCCACAAAGACCTTAGGCTTGTTTTGGTGAACTGTTAGTATTTTTCCTTGCACAACATACATAGCCGTACTCCTTTTGACCCATCACTTTAACCTTGTAGATAATTCTTAAAAATGACCTACGCACCAAATGCTAAATTTTGGAATTGTCTATAAAATTAGCTTTGGCCTCTAGACAACCATGTGAGATAGTGTTCACAAGTGCGCCCTTCATTTCACATTCACAGCCGAATCAACTGGCAGATGCACATTGATGATGCCCAAAGTGGCCTTTTCTAGCTAAACAATGACGTTTCACTTGCAGATAAGAGAATGTAGCTTAAACTCAAACAGAAAGAGATTACAAAAAAGATAATTATCTCTTCGACGACTCATTTACACAACTGTCCATTCGTGAATATATATGTAAATTGATGGAGTGTTCCACACAAGTCTTTAGTGGTAGGCCAAACATAATAGATAGGTAAATATAAGGAATAAAAGGATATGATTGGAGTAGTTTTTATAAAATGCAGTGAACGCTAATATTTGTTATCTGGTAAAATTAAAAAACAACCATGTAATAAAACATGAACAAACAAATAAGTGAATAAAATAAAAAAGACGATGCAAACGAAGATGCATAGTACCTGATTAAGGCTATGGTAAAAAAGTGTTTGTATGTGTCCCTCTTGATTACGCAATTGAAGTTTGGACCTTTGAATTATCAAAGCCCCCGTTGGAAATAGATATCTCTTCGTCATCCTTTTTGAATGACTCGGTTGAAGTCTATAGAGAACTTTGAACGAGGTTTTGAGAGAAGCTAGACATCCAGAGTCTATGTGACATTCAAAGATGGAACTGGAGATGGGTTTTTGCTTACCCTCTGGCTACTAGTCTCAGTAATGTTACTTGATAAACCTTGAGAGACCTTGGCTCTCTAAGTGCACTTGTTGTAGTTTAATTAGTTCATTAGTTCTTCATTTATATCATCTGTGTAGACCTTACTCGTTTTCGGTGAAAGAGTCAAATGTACTGCTTTTTCTGTTAGTCTAAGCCTAACTTTAAAAATGCAAATAGTGGCCACTTTTTATCATCCTTTCACAGAATGGTCTCTTCAAAATGTAGCTTCATTATCTTCGAAGTAAAACAGTAAAAAGAATTTCGAGTTTACTTTGGATTCCGATGTAAACTTGTTTGAATGGAAATAAGTATTAAACTTTCCTTCAGTATCCGTCACATGCACTGAAATTGTTATTCAGATACTGCTTATGTGCATGGAGATCCTTAGCTATCCGAAGTAATAAGATATTTTCTAGACCCGTTATAAAGCAGTCTGTTTGTAGATTAGAGATTTTTTCAAACTGTTTCGTGGAAAACCCAGAAAACATTATATTACACATGACCAGCGAGATTATCTATCTGTATATTAGGTATCTATATGAAGGTTATATTACATGAGACAAGGATATGGATATTGACGCCAAACCTGAAACGTTTATTTCTTGCCATGATTACATCAAGATGGGATCAGAATTCGGAGTATGCCTCGGGCTCAGACAACGATGAAGCTATGTTGGCATCCATAACATTTTCAACAAACCGTTATTTATTTTTCATTATTCAAAGTTCTTCATGAATTTGTAAATGAATTCACTTACATACCATACAACCCATCTTGTGATTGCAGCAGCAGACTACTATTCTTCCCATTTAAATTTACATTAGTAATACTAATTATGAAAGGTAATAAATGCACAGCGATTGCACTTGGTTATATGTTATATTATGGAAAAATAAACTGGATATTTTTTTTATCAATAAAAGAATAATCTTTATAATGGGCTTTACAGTTAGATTTATCCAAAGTTCTCCAGGTCAGGACATCTACTTTTATGCGTAGCATGATTCAAACATTTTTTACTGGCTAACCGATGACCCTAGTGTCTACTTGTACACATATATATTATGTGCTCACATTTCATGGTAAATTGTTCATTTTTACCCTTTCTTTTTAGATATACAGGATTATACTATTTTGAGTTTATCAAATAATCACATATATCCAAGTAAAACTCAATCATTAGTTTTATCCCAGGTCAACTAATCTTGCAATGCATGATGGCCTTAAACCTAAATTTGAAATACAAATTTTTTTTAAAATAAGCATTATGCTTTTTGTTTTGTTGTAGAAAAAAAGAGGAATGATAATGTTAAGAAAGGGATTATTTTAAAAGAGGAAAATAAAAAATATTGAATAGCAAAGTCATTGGATATGTGGGTTATAGATAGACAGACAGGCGAATGTGTCTTTCTTTAGCCATGAGTATTAATTTCTAGGGATGCATTGTCCAATCACTGAACACCGATATACGGTATATAAATACATCAGAGTAATTTTATAATTATTTTCAATACACAAATAAATGTTACGTTAACAAAATGATTGCAATATTACATAAGTAAATATACTATCTCTGGTGATTAGAGATTACAGCATATACAACTGATAACAAAAAACTCTTAAATACTGTTGTGACTTTACAAAGACAGACAAAAGTGTTATTTGACACTCCCTTCTTGAAGATCTTAAAAAAACATAAATCACGGAACGTTGATGTGATTAAGGAACGTTGGTCGACAGTCACTTATTCCAGTTTTTTCTCTATACTCAGGGCAGACAAGCAGTCATGCTATATCCAAGTCACATATTTATTATATCATCTAAATACAAATGTCACTTTGTCAAAAACTGCAAAATCTTGATGAAGAAATTTGTTAACATTTTGTATGGACCATATTGGCATAAAATGTGAAATTTATACTGCTGGCCGACTTGTGTAATTCAACATGCCACCGGGATTTACGCAGAAAAAAGACACTGTAACAAATTTAACTAATCTCCTTGTTTTCTGGGATATCCTACCTTGAAAAGGATTTAACGCTGCATAGATACTATAGTTTACTGTTCACTTTTAATGTATGCCAAGGTGAACAATGCATCCATACGCCGAAGAGATAAGCTCAATTAATTCTTTTCAAAGCCACAATATGCACAGTAATTCATCGTCTAATTCATCACCACACTCACCTGGCTCTTTAAGAGCGCCATCGATCACTGGGTTACCACAGTTGAAACATCTCACTGCAACGGAAATACATAATGTCAACAAACATCCACTTATCTCGTTTCCCAATGAAAAAACCTTTACTCAACATCTACCGAGTATTATGACAACTAATATTACTGATGAGATATTTCAAACCAATGGACAATTAATGATTGGTTCTGGTGGAGGGGTTGATGTAGAATGCAATAGAAGGATTGAAAATCAAAATCAATGGGACTTTAAGTTTAGTAGAGATAAACTGAATCAAATCAGTGCTAGGCGGAAGTCTGCCAATGGTACATGCTTTTGCGGTCCTGGACGGAAACGTTATTTAATTGCATTTCTATGCTGTGCATGCCTTACTGTTGTTATTGGTATGCGGTCAGAAATGTTAGGAATTATAACAAATTTAAACAATACAAACAGTCGAGTATCACTTGGTTTTAAATATGCCTCAACTGGACATGTTGAAAAAGGTGGATTATTTAAACACGAGAAAGAAGAACACTTTGATATATTAAGCGGTTCTCGAGATGATGATTTGAATATGGAAGGATCTTTGAGCCAAAGTGAAGAATTACACAACGATCCACATCACATTAATGATCGTCATTCTACATCATTAATATTTAAGCCATCCGAACATCGGAAAATGCCATGGACAGAAGCAATTAAAAATGATATTGTAGAAAATGCAGTATTTTTTGCTTACCTAATTACTAGTCCAATTGGTGGTTATCTGACTGTAAATTATGATTCATCATTCTTACTGGGTGGTTCAGTTGCTATCACATGTGGAATGAATCTTTTCTTACCACTTGTAGAAACTATGGGCAATAATATTAATGCAAAGCTTGTAATGATTATTCTACTAAGACTGATACAGGGTTTAGCTGAAGGCTGTTTAATACCAGCCGTATTTGGTGTACTGAGATTCTGGAGTCCAGAAAATGAACGTTCAACATTGGTCTGCTTAGCTGTAATCGGTGTTTCACTAGGTCCATTAATTGGTTTACCTGTATGTGCAGAAATTGAAAAGAAATGGGGTTGGGGTGTTGTATTTTATATATATGCTAATTTAGGCTTAATTTGGTGTATATTTTGGTGGCGATTAATTGATGAAAAACCAAATAAAGATAAAAAATTAGGTAAACGTGAAATGAACTTTTTAAAGTCAACTATACCAAATCGTATATTATTTACTCAAGGATATACACAAATACCATGGCAAAAAATATTCACATCACGACCTGTATATGCTATTTTATTCACGTATGCAGCTGATGACTGGACATTTCAAATATCTTCAGTATGCATGCAATCATTCTATCAACAAATATATGACGTTGATGTGGAACGCACTATATTTTTTCTATCCTTTCCATTCTTATCCAGATCAATGTTTGTACCAATTGGTAAGTTGAAAAAGTAAAACTAGTAGTTTTACTAGTATTATTGTCCCGTTTATCGAATCAAAACATTATTGAACGAACCACATGTACTGTAATTTGGTGGACTCAGTTTTTGCGGATAGAAGGTGTCTCAAAGAGTTCAGAGATGCAGGTTTTTTTCTTACTTCATTTAGAATTCTGATAACATAACATGATTACCATTGCTAGTATATAAATGTTAAAGTTACAAATGCATATCCATTTAAGAACACAAGTTTGGCTGTTTCGTTCTTTAATCACATGAGGAAAAGATGTAGTGGACATGATGAATATAATACTACGATGCCATAGGTTTCATCAACATACACGTATATATACTGGAGATAGAAGGTTTAGATAGCTATTAGCATTTCAAGTAGACGTTTTGTGGGATCTGTCGATTTAAAGATGGAGTTCATCATGAACTCCTTTCAATTAAAGATGGTGAAAACAAAATAGCTGTTTCTCCTCAAAAGTACGGATCCACGGCCTCTTAGGGGATCAAGACCATTGCTCTATGTTTTTCAGTAGCCCTCTAACTGTTACCAATTCGTTAGCAAAACTACTGTTTATTATTGGACATAATGAAGCTGAGAAGAATGTCAAGTATCATGAGTTCATCACCACTTCATCTATTCACATAAAAAGGGACTAAAGGGGAAAATCTAATGTTAATTTATGATAACCTGTAACTATGTAGCCCACAATTGCTACATTTGAAATACAGATTATTGTTTTTGGTATTATTCTCAACTTGTAAGCCATCTTAAACTTTAAATATACACTTTTGAAGTGCTGAAACTCCAGTAGTAATATACAATGTAGTCTCTTGATTATTCAGTAAATAACTTATGTGATACAGCGTGATACATAATCACGCTGAATCAAAATGTTACTCAGTGTTGAAATGCATGTTGCTGTCGAATGCGTTATAATAATCCAACTAGTTATTATTACACAGATTACACCTACTAAGACTGTACTTTCATGCATACACAGGCTTGCTTATTTATTACTGAACTTCATGATACCTGAACTGCTAGAGTAGTTTGAGCGTATGTATTACGGGTCTAAGTGAGTTACTGAATAAGATTTGAATACGAGGTTATAAATGCAATTCCTGTTCTTCCTGCATCAACATAAGTATTTTGCATCACCGCTAGTGTCATTTGTAATGAGTAATTTATAGAGACTTTAAAATCTACATCATCAACTAAAACTGACCTATCTTGGAGCCGTGTCTTAAAACTCTTCATCTCCCTTATTTTTATGGTTTAATAAACCAGGTGACTGAAATACAGCGTAACTAGCATTTATTGGCAATGCCGTACTGTTTCCAGTGTTAGTATTTATGATGCATTTACATAGTTGGATGCTTAATTATGGCGTCAAAAGTTGATACCACTGTAAAGGATTAAAACTGAATCTTTTTTATCTCATTTTCACACACAGGCTTGTGGATTAGGCTGAATTTTAAATTTCTGTGTAAAGATGAATGATAATTACCGGTTTGTTTTACGGAAATATAAACAGCAATAATAACTTGATCTCACTATTGAAACTCAGCTGCGTAAGTAAATGGTCTGTAACCGTAAACCAAAACTTTCTGCTCAACTTACGGAATGTTTCTTAAGTCTTCGTTTGACCAGTTAACCCTTAGGTAACTTGAACATAACATAACATGTGAGTCACATGCTCAGGGTTTATGCAACCTTGACGACTAATCACCCATGTAAAAGCTTAATCCAGAAACAAGTCACCTAATACTTTCAGAGAACTCTCTCGGCCACCACTTCTGAAAGCCTGTACTGACGCGTCTTCAAGATGAAAATAGAAGATGCATAGATAAATCACATAGCTTGAATCCACATGCATAATAACTTTGCTCTGTAAAGCAGATATCAGTTCTCAGAGATCATTTATTTTGTTTCATCATTCCTTCATCTTCGTAAAATAATAGACGACAAACTAATTTGAAGCATCTAAGAGTCAAAGTAAAACGATTCGAAAACTTCCAAGTTGAGTTTCCCGAAAATCAATAGAGTATACTTAGTAGATGGAAAATAGGTGCAAAGTATTTCACAATAGCAAATCTCAGTTCTTTTCAAAAGCTATTAATATTATTCCACTTACACATGATCATCTCGAAATACTAACTTCATGTTTCTTTCATTTCATTGTTGTTCAAATAAGTAGTACCATATTGTCTTATAAGAATACTAAATTGCATCATTTGGATGCTATGATCACCAGCTTCGAGACTTATGACTATGAAACAGATAGGCAGACTGACGAAATCAATGTATAACCTCGCACACAAGTGCACTGACTCAAGTTTCCACACTTCACAGTTGCATGCAAAGAACAAGCGCATAGAAAAAGAGTGATGTCAAAATAGACATTATACGACAGAACTAATAACTTGAGGAGAAAGGTTAGTGCGAATATTCAAGCTTCAGAAGTCGAGAAGTGAATATATCTTCACCATTGTAGCTGATTATTAGCCATGTCATCAAGAGTGCTCAACCGCTGGTTTCTGTCATCTCGGAGACCCGAGCCAGGTAGACTGCATCTCCTAACATGACGCAGGCCTATAGTCAGGGACTTCATTGACTAGCGTTACGTCTTTATCTGACCACCCTGAACTCTCTACAAAGCTAATCTAACTTCTCCCTTGCAAGAAACGTCAAAGTAAACGATTTTCTGGCGTGTGCAGTAGATGTCGAAGACATCTCAATTGGTTAAGGTTCACAAAGTCATCAAATGACTTGCCTGTCTTGCCTAGTACCCTTCGGTTGACCTCAAGGTTGCTCACACGGTGATTTGAACAAACATGAGCAATCCTGAGAAGACATCAGTGATCAATAACATGTAAACGCTGCACGTTTTCTACCTTGATCGGCCTGTCTCACAGGCGTACAATAGGATAGAAGGGACTGGAGTGCAGTGTAATCGTCTCTTGTTAGATGGTTGGATATCTCACCGACCGGTGTCACAGATGACGCAAGTTAACAAATAGCAAATGGACCATCTGTATCCGAGCTGAGATTTCATTAATAATCTCCCTGTCCTAGCCCATGCAACTCCATAAATAATTGAAGTGGTCAACACATTCCACCGCTTCAATCCCTATCCTTAAACTAGGAGTGGTTGCAGACCAATCTTAAAGTATCAGCTTAGATTTTAAAGGTAAGAAACGAGTTCCAAACATTCGGATTTCTGCTGAAAGCGTTCAGAGGTGTCTATTTGATAGATGATCTGCATTACGATACATTACCTATTCTGCTGATTTCGGAATAGTACACAAATCAGCTGATCCACTAAAGCACATATTGAAACCACTCTGTTTAGACTGTTAAAGGCAGCATGCACGACATGGTAAAGATTACTGATACATGTATCCACTACTTTCCTACGATTCGACGATAAAGAGGTTTTGAGTAGTTTTTAGGTGAATATAATCTTACTCCCTCAACCACTGAAGAAGAATAGCATGAATTCATTCATTAATTTTTTTTTTATCATTTCAAATAACCTGACCTTTTGTAACACCTTGCTGTTCTATTGACCTTAAGAAGTTTTATCTGTCAAATTCATGTAAACATTTTATGATTTACTTATTTTGCCTTCATATTGCCCATCGTAATAAAAGGTAGTTATTTGTTTCCATACTTTTTGACTGCTTCATCTTACCTAATCCAAATAATCCACCATCAAATCGATTACAGCATGCAGTGTATCTTTCACAGGTCTTGACATAAAAATCGTTTAAGCTTGTAGGTAATAAATGTGAATTCGCATAATGAAGTGGACTCATATTATTCTGCTTCAATGATCTTTCATTACTGCACTAATGATTTCCATTTCTTAACAATGCTAAAAGATTTATTCCCATTTTTGGGATAATTCGTCTACTTTATTGTTTGAGGCTAGTTGTTGCAACAATTTTGGCAACTATTTCGGTTTTTTTTGAATCAAAAGTAGTCACCATCACAACTCTAAAGTAAGTTTACAATGTCATTGATTTACCTTGCTTTAAAATATATCTCTGTCCTTTAGGCAATGAATAGTATCCATAAGAATTGCTTTCATAAGTAGTACTTAGCTTACTGTTATTCAAGTTTCTTCATAAATATGAACAAACATTTTTATCGTCACCTCATTTAGTACTTTAAAATGCATCACTTATTTCCAGCGAATGAGCTCACAGATTTTGTCTTTCAGAATCTGCCTCAGTTTTTCTTATAGGTTTGTTTTTCGGTGGTGAAAAAGTTGAACGCATATCTGTTGAATTAAAATTGTATCTTAATTTTTGGAAAACTTTTCCTTATTCATTCAACACTTTTAGATAAGAACATTAATTCATACAACAGATATAATGGTCAACATTATGTAATTATCTCAGTTCAGTATAACTTTTTACATTCATCTCATCTAATATCTGATTATTTGTACGCTTGTTTTCATAAGTTCAATGTCAGATTGAAAAATGATCACGTGAACAGACATGTATGTAGTAAATCTTTTAGCACACTCGTTAACGGACAGATGGTGTAATAGGTTATTACAAACTGGCATTTAAAGATAACAGTTTTTATGTTACGTAGTCCACTGAAAAGTCAGAATGTATAACTTGTATTACTAATTAAAAAAAGTGATATACTTGTTGACATTTTTATATTACAGTTAGTCGAAATATGAGTGGAGGATGAACTATATATATATATGTATCCTTCATTTATTCCTTGGAAATCAATAGGAAAATATCAACTTAAACGTAAAGGGAATACGAAAACTATGGATTCAATATAGTTTTTAATAAATAACATCTGAACACTCATTGAGTTTTTTTCCTCTGAAAACCTCTTTACACGAATAAAATGTCAAGTAGTGGGATGGGAAACATTACCACCAGGACAGAAATAGTAAAATTACATGTAGATGATATTGAAGCCTCTATAGATTTTCCAATGGTCAACTGCAAA